GTATGCTTGTGCCAGTGGTATCAGGAGTGAGGGACTAGAAGAAGAGAGGAAAGAGAAACAGAGAAGCCTGCTGGGGGAACATAACTCCGCTCTGTCCCAGTGCTGAGAGAGGAAAGAAAAAGAAGACACAATGCAATATTCTCTTTGGAATTAATACACTGTCTCTTCTGCAAGAGCATCTAATTTAGTGTTACTTGCCTTCCTCACAGTCTCAAGCTGCCCCTCGCTCTGTGTCTCTGCCACTTTCTTCATCCATCTCCTTTACTATCTCGCCGTTTCCATACTGCTCCATGCCATAACCATCCTCCCACCCACCCCTCACCCCGCAACATCCACCTCTTTCACTTCCCTGCCTCTCATTCTCTTCTTCTCTGCCTTAGGCCTTTGTTAGACTGTCTTTGTGGCGAGTGCAGAAAAAGAGAGACGGGGGCCTTGAACACAAGTCAAGCAGTTTGAATGGGAAAAGGATGGCAGAAGAAACTGGAGAAATGGGAGATGAGAGAGGGACCGAGTGGATATGAAAAACTGCTCGCCTCCTGTGAGAGACTGAGGGAATGAAGGGGAAAGGGAGCATGCTAATGAAAAGACAGGCAGGCAAGGACGAAAAAAGTGGTTATCTATAGTTTTAAGAAAGTTAACCTCATTAAAATTGTGCTAAGAGAAATGCTGAGGGCATACCAGATAATAAATTTTCATGCTAATAGTACATGCTTGGTCAAAATTCATATATTTTTTTACCTATTAAGTTCCAATTCAAAAGGATTTCTGCATCCTAAAGGTGCTACGGCTGCCTCTCCAACTGAATAAAAGTAAAAACTCTGTATGCCCCAAATGAAACATTACTGGAAGAGAAATAGTGAACACCCGTCTTCAGCTCTTAGTTTTTTTTCTAGAAATGAAAACACGGAACTCTTTTTAGTGGCTAAAACAAAAACAGCAGTAAATGAGTCAAATATGAGAAGGTCACTTTGTTTTCCAGCCCGTTGCTCACCCTAAATGGGTCCCCACGGTCTAAATGAGGATGGATGCGAGCTGAAGACGATTCACTGATCTGTGCTCTGTGTTTCGACAAGCCAAGGGAAAGACAAGGGCAAAGGAGGCAAACGGAGTTGAGTTTGAAGAAGGACTGACCATGTCTAGGTTTAGATATGCGAGTGTGAAGGATTTACAGAATACACTTGTGGCTGCTGTGATCTGTTTCTAAGCTGTGAGAGGACACTGGGAGGAGGTCAAGAGGTCGGTACTTAGCGTGGAGATTTAGCAGCGAGCCCTGGTGCCAGTGGACAATCTTCTTTGATCTTCTCTTTGTTACTCAATTCTTTTACTTTTTCCTACAGGGCATACACAAAACTAATGATGCGTTTAATGATCGCAGATGCATGCTTTTTAGTCAGATGTTAAAGTTTTATATTTTTTAGATGACATATTTTGTTTTTCTGACTACAAATAAAGGCTTTACCTCACACATTTTCCCGATACCTTTATTTATAATGATATTATCAGTGCAAAAGCATGAAATCTATAGTCAAAGATTGAGAGGACGGGATGTGATCTTGGAGGGCTGGATGGACAGGTACTATTTTAAAGGGACCAGTGCAGTGCTTTGTTGTAGCAATATAAAATAGAAGTGGATCCTGTGTTTTTCATATGTAGGAATGTCCATTATTGGAGTTGTGCTTCGCTAGACCTGTGCCATTTCCTAAACCTAATTTATGGTCCTGCAAATATGTCTGTCTGCATACACATTTACGTGTGCACAGTGAGGTGCAGTCCTCCAAAATCCCAAATGCACATTGCTGGACACAGATGACCTATGCCTATTGATTGACCTGAATAGGAAAGGGCGTAGCAGTGGAGTTTGCCAGGAGTGGGAGAACTTTAAAAAAAATCTTCAAAGATCAAATATCACAGCATAACTTTGCTCTTCTCTGCAGCTGGCAGACAGACCACCAACAGCGCAGGCAAGAGTAGCCAACAGTCTGGTTGTACCACATATTTTGTACACTGCTTTCATCGACAACAAACACTGCAGGTACACTGTCAGCCTGCTACTGCCCCCAGACTGCCTTCATGTTACCACCGCTTAAGCATAAAATAAGCATTACAACCACATGTTTTACCAGATGTCTGCAATCACAAAATGTTCTTGTCTAGAACAATAAAGACATTGACTTTGGTCATAAAACAACTAAATTTAGTTTGTTTGCCTGCTTGGTTGCAGTCAGAGTTGCTGCTGTGTTGTGTTGTTCTGGAGCCATCTCAGCAGGGTGAAGCAGTTTGCAGGATGTAGGTTGAACTATGGGTCGTTCAGTCTTTACTGTCAACATTGATGGTTGCACAGCAGTATTCTGTAGTGTTGCTCTTGTAAGGCAAACAGAGCTCAAAGGGTAGGCACCTGACTGTGGCCCTTGCTCCAGTGTAAGCGAGGTTGAATGGTACCTGGTGATTTTAGTTAATATTGACTTTCCTGCTTGTTCAGAGTGAAGGAAGAAAACTTATGCAACATTAGGCAAAAGTGAACAAAGTGAAGAAAATACAGAAGAAAGTTTGTGAGCTGTTATAGACAAGTCTTGTAGGATTATGTGAAAGAACTCCACACAAAATAATTCAACACAGGGACATGAAAAATAAAGAACAAAGATAACAACCAACGAGGAGAAAAAAGGAACTAGGACTCCAGTATCATACTGAAGTCTGTAACACAGCATGGGGTCTCCTTGTTGCTGGACTTACTGATATATCCTTCTAAAGACAGAGTTAGGTGCTGTTACATGAGCAGGTTTGATATTATCATAGCACAAACCGCACTTTTCCCCTTCAATATAATCAGAACTAAAGAAAAAGGCAAATAGAACAATGAGCAGGACAATTTAACAAATTCACATCTGTTAACCAATGTGTCCTTAACACAATGACTAGACAGCATCAACAGTTGTTCTAATTTAATTTTATGATCACAATTACAGCTAAGGAACATCAGCAGCCACTGGATAATTTTTTTTAGGGATGTGTCGCATCCCTTCTTTGCCTTCTTTGCCCTTGTCAGTGGATTCATGAAAACCAATGCTTTTTTAAATATAATGGTACGCAGATGTTCCAACATGATCATACTTTGAGGGAGAGGGATGTGCTATTCCACCAAGTATCACGTGCAATGGAGACAAGTCTGGAAATCTGACACAGTGGGAGGTGCTCTTTGGAATAGAGGGCAGCTTCTCATTATCATGATAGCAGACTTTACTGTGGCCACTGTGGATGATTTATTAGTCTTGACCAAGTGCATACAGTTATAGGTCTCTATCTACATTAAACCATAAGACACCTGATATCTTTCATGATTCATAATGAGGAGCCTGAAAGCATCTCAAGGTCAGACTGTTGGGTAAAGACATCGACTTAAAGTCAGAGTCCTGCTACTTTTCTTTCTTTCGTTCTGGAAACTTCTCTCTCAGATGTGCAGAAATGGCAATGGTCACAAATGTGGAATGAAACAGTGCATTTATTCATGGATCAGTTATTCGTGTAAGGAGAACATGTCATTGTAATGTCTGCAGCCAGTATGCTCTTGCTATTGCAGAAAATGTTTTTAAATACTATTATTATTTCTTAGAAAACAGATCAAAAATGTTATTGAGGAGTAAGATAGCTATGTTGAACAAATATATGGGGGGAGTTGGTCGGGGCCCATAATCACAGTTCTCACCATGAGTTAATCAGTGTCAGTTTATAATTGGCAAAGTGCAATTGTCACATTAATTTAACTCAACCCAGATTCATGAAAATCCAATCAGAGGTGGGCGAAATATCACACGTGGCACAAAGGAACAATCAGTGTGGTGCCACCCTCTTGAGAAATAATCTAATTTTGAGAATGTCACACCCCAGTGAGACACCTGTATACGTTCAGTATGCATAAACAGTCTGCACATGCTGTGAAAAAGCATGGATGCGTTATTGTAGGTTACTTATTAAAGTTTATGTTTCAGTAAGATCTTCAGTTGAAGGATGGAAATGGCTTGTAAACTGGAAACTCGCTGTAAGTAGGGAAGTTGTGGTTTGTGTAAATTAATATGCGTTAATTAGATGTTCGTTAAACTCTGTTTTAGAGATGCTGTTCAGTCAGTGCCATCTTTTTCTCTCTCCTAGAAACAACAGGAGAATCTACAAAATGAAAATTGTTCATAGAACATTACGGCCAGTATCCTAATGCGATAAAGAATTTTCCAATTTAATCTTTTTGTTGAGGATACTAAAACTCATCTGGGCTTTCCAGAAAAATACTTTTGAAACTACTAAATTAATTGCTGAGCATCCAACTTCCGGAGGCTTAAAAAACAGAAATCTGAGAGTGAAATAAGGAGTTTGGGAGAGGCTGATTATGCGCAATTTAAATTTCTAGCAAGTTCTGACTTTTGGAAGAATTATTTTAAAGCTCTCTCTCTATTATATTATTTATTTTTTTCGGGCGGTGGGAGTGGGAGGAGGAAGAGTTTGCTCCACCAATAAAGCCTACCATGAAGCATCCTCCGAGTGACCAAAGGACCAAAGTGACTGTGGTCCAAGCTGCATAACGTTTTGACTGTGTGACTGCACCTTTAAAACAATAAAAAAAAATAGTAAGGAAATTTAAAAAAACAAAAAAAACAAACAAACTTATTTATCCTTTAAAAAATAGCTTTATAACTTAATTTTTAATATTTCGAAAAATAACTTTATAAATACAACTAACTGCGTAAACAGGCATTGGCTTAAACTCTACATGACATGATATCAGAAAGAGAGAGAGAATTAAAAATAAGAAAATAAAAGTCGGCGAAAAACATGGTACTATTTGGGGTTTTTTTTAAATTCTAATTATTATTTATTTATTTATTTGAATACACGAGACATCAAATGAAGCGCAGTTCAAATTAAAAGTCATCACTTCTAGTTTTATTTTGTATGTGTGTAGCGGAAGTGATAATTCTTCTGACGCTGGGAGGTTTGACAGTAGTCGTCCGGCAGCACCGAGTGAGCGCACACGTCGCTCTCTCCACTACATCGCACCACTGCGGTAGGAGCGCGGAGGCAGCAGCAGAGGAGTGCCCGGCAGGCACAGTCCACTTGTTCCTGCAGGACAAAATCCAGGTGGCGAGTCTCTCACTCTGTCTCTCTGTGTCTCCCTCTCTGCCGACTTTATCACAGCGCAAGACTTTACCTGAGAGGACATAGTCATATAGCAACAGCTCTCAGGGTAACCCTCACAGTCCAGCCGGAGCAAAGGAAGGAGAAGTTTGGGCTATTGCCACGCGATTTTACCCACAGCTCCGTAACCTTGGAAGTCGGACCTGATTATTGTGAGAGGATGGGACCGCTACTCCTTTCCGTCGCCCTGTGCTTGAGCGCCGCTGTCCCACAGCGTGTGAAAGGTGAGCGGAACAAGTGACAGGCAAAAATAATCATTGCCACATTTTCTTTTCTTTTCTTTTTCCCCACAGAAATAGTTATTTAGCGTGGGAGCATCACCGAACAGGGGATCGATCAGAATCCTTTGGCATATTTACATATTCTACTGAAAGTGATAAAGTGCTGGTGATTATTCAAAGAGGATCGTGGGGAGTGGGGGTATCCCACATGAACGGTTCAACACTGTATTGTTCGCGGGAAACGGAGCAATCTCGGCACGTTTTTTTGCACGACTCGTTAGTTAATTGGTTTGATTGTGTTCAGAGGAGACCTGTTTGAGTATACAAGCGGCCGATTGTGTATTTTATCTGTGTGTAATTGCTCTTTGATAAAGGGCCACATGAGACTGCGCACAATTAAGGCAAATGTGCACAGCTCCAGTGTTTCGTGCGCCCTCACAGTGACCATCTTCAGCTGCTTGCTTGGCTTATGTGCGAAGCTTACATGGGGTAAAAGAAGCTGAGGGTCCAGGTTTAGCTCTCGTTAATTAATGCAGGGGGACAAAGGCATCTTTCTCCCCTTATTTTCCCTTTTTTTAATAACCAATATAAAAAGAAGAAAAAAAAACGGAATAGAAAGATTTCTTGCGTGGTGACTAGACAAATCTAGAGGTGATATATATCCTGTAATAGTTGCCTTATCATTATTAACCAGCCAATATTACAAGTAGGGTAAATGGACATTGAAGTCTAATGTAGAGTCTTACCAAAACATGTCACACTGCTTTATGCAGAGAGAAAACTGCTGAAAGCTTATAGATTAACCTGACTCCCTGAATCACCGTTCCCATCATTTACATCCTCCCCCCTTTTGCCCTTCCTGTTCTCTGGTGATGGGGATGTTTAAGCTTTTGGCCGCTATATATTTTCCACCATCAGTGCAGAGCCGTACCTGTGGGATACAAACATATATATATATATATATATATTTTTGATAAAGAAAACAGGGTAGTCCTGATAGAAGTGGGTCATGCCATTGTCCCTGTCTCTGTTCATTTAGCAACACGCTTGCCTCAGGAGTCACACATGTCAGACAGACCTCAGTCTCTACACCGGGAGTGTGCCCCAAGCAGAGTTTCTAAGGCTCCCTAAGCCTCACAGTGTCAACTCACAGTCAGCTGTTACAAGACATAATACTCCCTGGTAGGCTGGCATAATGAATGTACAGGAAGAGCAGAGAGCCGTGGTGCCGCGGGTCGACTTGTTTCAAGGCTCAGTGAGTTAAAAATAAACCCCGTACTAGTCCCTCAATTAATCATATCCCAGTTAAAAATTGTGCTATTGTAAAGGGATTTATTTTTTTTGTCCATCTGCTTCAAAAATGAGTTAAGCTGTAACCTTAGTCACAAAAGGGAGCTTGTTAGAGGAGGAAATGGAGGTTAATCGACAGTGTTAACGTTTCATCTGTGTTTGAACAACAGCCATAGTCATATTGGTCAGCCTGGCAGCTATATTTGCAACCGAACCCCTTCGTCACCGTTGCTGTCAGTCTGGCATGTTTAAAAAATCCACAGTCAGATTAAAAGGGACACGAAAGCATTCAGCTGTCATGAAGAAAGTGGCAGAAAAAAATGTCTTGTGATTATTAGAAATCTCTTTGTGTTGCCTTGAAGATACGGTTTACTTACCTTTTGTCATTGCTCAAAGACAGCAGGTGTCTTCTGAGATAGCGGCTAACAAACACTGCATGGAGGATGTCACAGGGTGCCTCTGTCCACTGAAACAAATTGATGGGGTAGAAAGATTCGCCTTCAGGTAAAACAGACTGCATTGTTCCATGTCAGCGTGCAATACATCACCTCCTCTCTTTGGTTACTGGGGCTGACTCTCACACATTGTTTGGGGTCCTGCCTGTCTGTCTGGACAAAGCACATGACTGCACCCGTGGGTTCTGTGGATGGATATGTAAGACGCTTTTGTGCTTTGTTTGGAGTGTCAGCCTTAATGAGTTTTATGCATCTTAATTTTAGCCCCAGTCTTGTGATAAGGACTTCACAATTAGAGGCTTTTAGTCGAATGGACAGCCATCTGGAGTGGCAGTGTGATTGTTTGCTATTGGTGAGCCATGATTAGTGTTAATATTGTTGACTGCTGTTCATTTAAGCCAAAGATTGCACTTGTTTAACGCAGTTGAAGAAGTCAAACAATACACTAATGTAGAAATATTGCAATTTTGCGAATGTTGGCAGCTTTAAATTGCTCATCATGCTCAATATGATGTAGGTTTGAGAGGTTGGGAGGCTTACTGAAGGGCAGCAGAAGTTTTGTTTAGCTGAGAGAAATTGAGCTTCTGCTTCCAAACAGTTGGATGGATATAAATGAGATATACCGACTTGATAGATAAATCTATCAAGGCTGATTTGATAGATTTATCTGAAAGGTCAACACATTTACTGGCAGCTGAGGTTATGGTTGATGTACCAATGAATTTTAATAAGAATGACATGTGACCTACACTGCTCTGCAAAAGTAAAGAGCCACCCCTCATTTCTGTATATAAAATGGGAAAACACTACAAATATACATGGCAATACAGTATATAAGGCAAGAGTTTGTGCAATCCTAATGAGGTTAAAAAAACCAATATTTGGTACGACCCAATTATTCTTCAACACTGCCGCAACTCTCTTAGGCAAGCTTCCCTGTCATTTCTTTAAGCAGTCTTCAGGAAAAGTTCTCCGGGGTTCTTAAAGAACATTCAGAGCTCTTCTTTGGATGTTGGCTGCTTTTGTTCTGTTCTCTATCAAGATGATCCCACTTGCTTCAATAAGGTCTGGGCTCTGGGGAGACTGATCCATGACTGATAGTCTTTAACTGTGTTTTTCTATCCAGGTATGCTTTAAATGCATTGACCTTGTACTGGGAACCATTTTCATGCTGGAAAATGAAGTTGTTGCCAATTACATGCTTTCCAGATGGTATTGCATAATGGATCAAATCGAATCGCACGTTTTTGCCTTCATAATTCCATCAAGTTTGAGAAGATGCTCAATAGCACTGAATGTAAAGCATCCCAAAACCTCACCAGAGCCTCCGTTGTGTTTTACAGATGACTGTAGACACTGTTGTACCTCTCTCCTGATGATTTTTAGTACAATTTGTGTGTAATTTGGCATACCTGTAGAAGCCTGGAGAGATCCATCCATCCATCCATCCATCTTCTTCTGCTTATACCACAGGGCTAGAGGGCCAGGAGAGCTATTTAGAAAATAAATAAATAAAAGAGAGTCTAGCTCCTTGGGAGCAAAATATGAAGAAATAAGCCTTTTGCACATTACTGTAGCTCTACAGTGCTGTGCACTAGATGTGCAAAGATAGTGTGCTGAAGAAATGAAAGCCTTTTAAAAGAAGATGTATTTGTTTCCTTGCCACAAAAGAGGAAATAAATAACAGCAAAAACAAAATTTTTTACTCTGACTCAGAATTTTGGTCCATCTCTATTATATCTTTAATAAAATGGAGCTTTTGTTTGCAGACATTTAAATGGATATAATGCATATTAATTGTACAGATTTATCCAAACCTCATTACCTTTACTGGCCACTAAAGGTTATGGTTGATGTATGACTGACTTTTAATAACAATAACTGGCGACCTACCTCTACAGTGCTCTTCAATCCGGTTTTAAAAGGCACAGTCCTTAATCAGTGGAGAGAGGTCAGACTTCTGTCAAACCAGCAGCCATGATTAGCAACGGATTCCAAGCAACTCATTGGACAACAACCCCTGCACAAGAAAATGCAACATAGAATATCAAAACATAGAACTAAGTGATGTAGTGCCAGCGCTGCTGTTTTTTTGTGGAACTTAATAGGGATATTTGTTGTCAGTGCAGATGTTCACTAATCCTTTTTATATTTGAAGGAGACTTCATTTGTCTGTCATGCTGACAAGGTGATGCATACAATGCTATTTGTCTTTGCCATCTCAGTTCTCCTGCCTACATTTCATGCTTGACTTATATGGAGGGCACTGGAGTGATGGTTATCAAGGTTGCAAGGACATATGAAGAGGAAACGCTTACCAAAGAGCTTTAATGCAGCCTTGAGAAGAAAATAGCAGCATGGTGGTAAAAGACGTATTTTAGTCAATGCAAACTTTCAGACAGGAAAAAAATGGATGTTTCATAGTTATTTTATAACATTTTGTGGTTTTGTTTGATTTAGAGTTCTGTGCAAAAGTCTTGAGCTGCCCCTCATTTCTTTATATTTAGCTTCCAGGTTCCTAGACTTTCTTGTCATTAAAGTGGTTTTGAGAAGTCGTCACTCTTGGATGAGTGACGAAACATTTCCCAGGCTGTTCATCTATGTCCAGATGAACAGAATCATCTTTTTGGGAGTTTTTTACCTGGATGATTGAGCATGCATCAAGACATCTCGAGAAATAGTTCTCCAGATTTTTTTGTTTTGTTTTTAAGAGTTTTTCTTTTACACATTGGCTGCCTTTTTACCCAGTTCTTGTACTTGACCATTTTCAGAGAAAGGTTTTTTCCCCTTTGATAAGCCTCTTAAAACTGAACTATGATTCATTCAAGCATAAAAAGGGCAACAATGGACCAATATTATGCCTGCACATAACACACAAGTTAGCAAAGAACCAATTTTAAATAGTATTTTTAGAGACTTGGGTAATAGCAGTCTGTCGCAGAATCACAGAAATTGTTCTCATTTCTTAAGCTGCGAAAATGCCAAAGATAACACAGCCTTGACAGATATAAAGTTGTATTTTTCTCCCAACAGGGTGATTCGCAAAGAGGGGAAAACTTGCATATATTAGCACTGTGTGCAGTGCATTCTCAAAAAAGTGGTTTAGACCTGCTTTTCAGTCAGTGGTGTTGGGGATCTTGTCAAAACTGGTGTAATTATGAATGAGGAGAAATACCATCAGGTTTTTATTTGACCATGCAATACTGGAAAACCCCTGATTTTTAATGGTGGGCAATGTGACCTCAAAATTAGATTATG